ACTTCGGGTTCTGCAACGAAGGTACACGCGTGTTCCCGATGCGTGCTTGGTATATACAAAATAATTACGGGAATAACTTAGACGTAATCAAGGAGGAAAGCTGCCCACACTCGCACTCAGTCAAGGCTTTCTCAACCACGTCAGCGTCAGTCGAATCTTCCTTAAACAACGACACTATTGCTGTGAGCTCGTCGGCTCCGCATATCCAACCACATTTCGCTCCTCTCTACGAACGGATGCTTCCGATCGGAGCCTCACAAAGATTCTGACTCCGCGAGGCCACGAGGCGTTGGCTCAGTTACGTTCAGCTGGATCTCAGATGGAACTCTCATCCGGGTCCGGATGCGGTGAGCGGTGTGAGCTCGATTAAATCACGCTCGCCTGGATCAGTCTCGAGTTTCCGAACTCGAATAACTATGTTACTCCCGCGTGGCGCGAGCTGAGCGAATACCTAAATTCGGTCAAACTGCTTCGGTCAAGCGGCTTCGGTCAAGTGGCTTCGGTCAAGTGGCTTCGGTCAAGTGGCTTCGGTCATATGGATTCGGTCAAATTAACGGTAACCGTCTGTGAAGATGTCCGAGAGGAGTCGGATGCGATGTTTTGCCTCATCGATTGAGTGCGCCCCCCCGACAATGTCATCCATGTAGAACGTATTGCGTATTTCCTCGATGAAGGGTGTATCCTGCGGGTACTTGCGCATCATCGATTCCAAGTGGAATCTAATTCCCTGACAATGTAGAAACGGTGAGCAGATCAATCCGAAGTCCAGACGGGTGGCCCAGAATTCTCGGATTCTGGCTGCTCCATTATTGCTTATGTCGAGAGGCCACAAGAAACGCTAGAATGTTTTGTCACTCTCCGCAATTCTGAACTGTAGGAAGGCCTTCTCGATGTCCGCTGTGAAAACGAACTTGTATCGACGGAAGTTGAGAAGAACTTTCGTGATTTCGGGGAGGAGGTCCATGCCGCAGTGGAGGACGTCATTCAAGCCGGCCTCGTTCGAGCGCCTGGCGCTGGCGTCCTTCACGACGCGTGTTTTTAAACCTGCGTGACCGCCAACTTGAGCGCACCGAAGATTCAAGCGATTGTGCATTTCGGCGCGAAGTTGATCTGAGCGCGAAGGAGCCTGCAGCGCAGCGTCGATTTGAGCACAACGTACGGTTGAGCGCATGCCATTTTCGGCGCATGCTTCCCGGAGCGCAACGAAAATTTGAGCGCAGTGTCGATCTGAGCGCAGCGTCGATCTGAGCGCAGCGTCGATCTGAGTGCAGCGTTAATTCGAGCGCAGCGTACGGTTAAGCGCACAAAGCCTTGTAAAATTGAGTTTTGAGACTGACTGGGTTTTTAAATCCAGTCAGTATGGCCCCCAGAATATGGCCATCAGAATATGGCCTAATTCTGGGGGCCTTCTTGCCAATCTCACGTTCATTAATGAGCATACAGTACTAGGTTTTCATCGATGAGAATTCCCTCGATGGAATTCCCGTGGCGTCGCAAACGCGAGAACTTCACGCTCATTATTCGCAGCACTATATGGCGAACATTCTATAACGAGCTGTCCTGAGCGGAGATGCGCGCATCATAGAAACGTGCACCAAACGACGTCTCGCTGAAATTATCATTCTGCGCGATGTCAACCAAGTGAGCCAGGCTGAGTTCATTCGCGGCAATCGATGCATCTTTTCTCCCGAACCGGTGGAAGCTTAACATGAGCTGCGAAATGCCTCTGAAGTTCGTGACCTCAACCAGAGGTAGGCCAATGCTTTGTGTGGGAGGTTTTGTCTTCCGCAAAGACCGAAGCACGCTTGATAAGACAACGTGGCGTTGCGAGGAGGAAACTTGTCGAGCTCGCATCAGCACCGCGGACGGCACTCATAGTGTGAGTCATAACGGAATCGAGGATCCGCGAAATTTTTATGAAGCATCCAGAACTATTTTGAGCATGAGCCCCCGTGTGACTTAGAGTGGTAGCGACTTTTCGGTCCTTCAAGCCAAGACTTTCCCTCCAGGATCCACCTGAACACATGCACGCCCCGGATTCAGTCGGAATCGATGTCCGCGAGAGATTAGATTGCCTACGTAAATCTGCGGTTCAGAAGACCTACGCGAAGTCGACCGCGTTGGTTGCCGCAGCTGTCAGCGAGGTCAGCTCACGCTCGACGCTGGGCAGTTTGCCGAGACCAGACCTACTCCGAAGACAGGTCTTGCGCGCGAGAAAACGAGAATATTCCTCGATGCATCCGACGAACCCCTTACGAAGAGAAGACTTGGTGATTCCAGATTTTTTGAAGGTATGCGTTTGTATGCCCGAAGATTGCCTTCGTCGAAGTCCTTGACACCTTTCTTCCGTCTATGCTCTCCATGTTACAGATGACCACCAAAGGTGACCCCTTTTTACTGTACGACTCTGGGGAAGGGGACTGCGAAAGGATGATAATCTTCGCCACCCCCGATAATCTCGAGCTACTGAAGACATGCGGCGAGTGGTTCTTAGACGGAACCTTCAAAGTTTGCCCCCTGATTTTTCATCAGATGTACAGCGTCCTCGTGAAGATTTCCGGCTCTCACAAAACTGTTCCCGTCGTGGATTCCTTGATGCCGGGGAAAACATCGAGAACTTACAGACGATTTCTGACAATCCTGACCAGCTTCCTCGATGACTTTCGGCCAGAGGTACTTCACGTGGACTTCGAGATCGCAATGGTCAGTGAACTCGAAACCACCTTCCCATCAGTCGATATCCTCGGTTGTAATTTTCATTTCAACCAGAGCCTTTGGCGCCACATACAAGCAGACGCCACGCTCCGTGATAAATATCTGCGGGAAAATGATTTCTCTCTGGACGTCCGTATGTTTGCCGCAATCGCCTTTGTTCCGCTAGGCAACGTACAGACTGCTTTCGAAACCTTGTTAGAATCCGAATTCGTCCGAGAGAATAACTATATCCTCACCAATTTCATTAATTATTTCGAAAATACATGGATAGGTCGTCCTCGCAACCCGGCACTTATGAAACCTCAATGGTGGAATGTTCACGAAGCGACGCTTTCCGGGCAAGGCCGTACCAGCAATGAGATTGAAGGATGGCACGCAGCGTTCGCGGGCAGAGTGGGTGTTAGTCATCCGACATTTTTCAAACTCACGGAGCAATTGAGATTCGAGCAAGCCTTGACCGAGTATGCAGTGATCAATTTCCGTGCGAAAGTTCCCGGAAGAATGA